TCTGATTCCGACCTTTTAGTAGTTGAACCGAGATCAACGCTAATCTTTCACATTACTGGCAGCGAGTCTCGAAAGTCGATCTCGCCGCCGGTGATTTTTTCGTCTAACAAACACCGTGAAGTTTTTTTTTTTTTTTTTACATCCTCGGCCCTTTCGCACATCACATTCGCCGTCTGTTGCGCAGCCGGGGCCTGTATATCGAACATCGACGGAACAGAGGTCCGGCTGAATTATTTCCCGAGCGGAGAAACGCAAAGAACGGAGCCGGACGCGAGTGCGACGAGGACGGATGACGACAGATGCGGCGGCGGCGGTGGGCTTCATCATGTGTGCCGCTGCCACCGCCGCTGCCGCCGCCGCCGCCGCCGTCGTCGACGTCGTCGCTGCAATGCGACATTCGACCATAATACCCGAGACACACACGCTTTCTCGGCCGTCACAAGCGTGCGGAACGCTCGTCTGTCGCGCCGCGCCGCGCCGAGACCCCGACGCCTCCCCGGCAGGTCTCTTTGTTCCCGCCCGTACGGTCGTTGTCTCTCGCTTGAATCGATACATATATATATATATAGAAGAGACAGACGGAGCGAATCGCGCCGGCAGTCAGCGAGCCGATACGATCCCGTCGCCGTCTCCGCTCCAACACGCGGCTCCCCTCTATTCGTCGAGAATTCGTCGGGGAGTCCCGCGCGGCAGTGGTCCCGAGTGCATTCCGGGGAGGGGAAAATCCTCCAAAGAGAGACGAGAAAGAAATTCGTCGGTCGGTCGGTCGGTCGGTCTCGGCGAGGAATTCTTTGTGGGAAAGGATCGCTCCGCGCGCCCGCATCGAATATCACAGATTGATTCTCGTGAACAGGAGGCGATTGTCCGTGCAGCGCCCGACTTCCGTAGCCGAGGGAGAAAAGTGGTCGGATACCGTCGGATATTTCGAGGAATGCCGATTCGCGCGGAGGAATCCAGGCTCGTGTCGAGATACACGTGGAAGATCGTCGAAGCGCGGGTATCGTTGCGATAAAATATACGGGCGGGGAGCAAGGGAGAAAAATGCGGAGAAGGGGGAACCGCACGGTGAATAGCTACTTCAAGGGCTCGGTTCTATAAAAATCCAGCTGCACACCGAGAGAAGCACGAGGAGGATCCTTCGAGGGGACAGCCGTGCAATAAAAAAAAAAAAAGGAAAGAAAGCATTCGAAAAGAAGAGCGGAGGAAGAAGGAATCGCAGTGAATGTTCTTTGAAGCGTTCGGTCCGAGGAGGTTCGAGAAGCAATCGGCTAAATTATTTCCAAGCTTCCGAGGGAGAGACTTGATTCTTTTTTTTTTTTTTTTAAAAAACGCAAGTAGAGCAATTAAAGGATATTTAACCGTGTCGAGGATCCGTCGACGATTGCTTAATTGGATCTATTCGAAAAAATTGCTACGAATCGAACATCACATCGAGTACCGACCAAAGTTCTCGAAAGCTGTAGACTGTGTTTTTTTGAGAAGACTCGGGAGATCGTTCGGATTCATCGTGCAACAAACCCCCCGCAACAAACAGCCCGCGGAAACAAAGGAGCCGCGAGGAAACGAAGCCTCGTGCTTCGATTGACCGCACTCCTCGTCGACGTGAGAAAAAGATCTCGCCGTTGCAGCGTCCGTTCAGACGAAGAGAACGAAGAGCGGGACGATCCAACGCGACGAGAGACACCGAAAGGCAACACACAACGACGACGACGACGACAACACGCCGCGAAGGTCGAACGTGACACACGGCGTAAACGCCGGTGCTACCAAATATTGTGATGCGCGGTCCGTCGTGACGCTCGGGACACGTCAGACTTTTGGTACGCGTGTCGCGGGGGATGACGAGCGCTTGTTACTACGTGAAGCGAAAAAACTGAGCGTTTTGTCGCGAGACGGGAAACACCTAAATGGTCCACGAGCTTCTGTCTCACGGATAAGAAGGGACGCCAGCGGAGATCGACGAAAATGAAGTGAGTAAATTAAAACACGACGGCGAAATTAGACGTGCCAAGAATAATGACGACTTCACTCATTCATGGACGAAAGTTCGACGAGTCTGATTTTACTTCGTCGGTGATTCGGCCATGTACTTTTTTACGTGTGAACTCTTCGAATGTGAAAAATGTGGATTATGTGATGGGAGTTTCGTTAATATTTGAATTTAATTAATTTATTGGGAGTACAAATTAGTTCGGTCCGTTTTCCAAAAGATAATCGCCTCCAACGACGAGTCATTTTTTCGAGATCGGATTCGAATAATTGCCTGAGAGATGGGAAGAAGTAGTAGCCATTTCATAGTTAATTCATTTTGTTTTGAAATAAAGGTTTTTTTTTTTGAACACAAGAAACGGACCGAACTAATTTGTACACCTAATAGAAAACAACGTTTCTTACTCATTAACATTATTATGAGAACAAAAAATGATGGAAAACCAAATACTTCATCAATATATAAAGGACAGAATTATTGAGAGGTCAAAGAATTTCAGAATGCAGCTATCTAGTCTAAAAAAATTGAAATAAAATGACTGATGTGCGAAGGCAGGATTTTGTTTAGGGGAGGGGGGACAAATTAAAATTGAGACTTTAAACTGGGGGGAGGGTGGGTATAAAATAATATAGATATAATAAAGGCAAGGAGCCAATAATGTAAATTGCATAACCAGAGCTTTTTCTTTTGTTTCGACTCCGATCGGGAGAAAAAGAAAAGAATTGGAAGTTACAGAAAAATTTTCTGAGAAAATCCGAGACAGCTAAATTTTTCCAGTTTGAAAAATTAATTTACAATTTTCAGAAAAAAGTAAATTAGTAAATTAAATGTACGGATTTTATGATTTATCTGCTAATTAATTAAACATTAGTTATATATATATTGAAAATAATTTTCAATGTTATTTTCAATGTAACTAATGTTTAATTAATTAGCAGATGAAGCAGATATACGTTTAATTTACTAGTTTATTTTTTTCTGAAAATTGTAAATTAATTTTTCAAACTGGAAAAATTTAGCTGCCTCGGATTTTCGCAGAAAATTTTTCTGTAACTTCCAATTCTTTTCTTTTTCAAAAATTAATTATGTCAAATCATGCGCGAGATTTGCTCAAGATTGTAAACGTGGAGTTCTCAAAATAAAAATTCTCGAACCAGTGGAGTTTTTATTATTGCTTCTGTGAGATGTAATCACCGAGAAACTTGAATATTCTCATTGATTCGAAAACTGTTGACATTTTGATGATCTTTACGAGAAACAAGACTGACTTTACTAGATTGATTAATCGGAGAATGCGTTGATTGAGAACTGTCTCAATTTAGATAAGCAAATTCGATGAAGCGAACACATCATCTTTGTCTTTACTAAAAGTTTTATACAGCAAATTGGTGGCAAACCTTCCGATGCGCGAAGCGATGTGAAGTTTGTACCGACAAACCTTGCTTAACAATGTGCGAGACAAATAACGGAACAGACATTGTTCTGCATGGCGTAACACACGTAGAACTTATCCAGCGTTTCCCCATCGAGAAAAAACTATTTCTGTAAATTCCGATGAGAGAAGATACCGTCAATTCATAGCATATACTATTTTTATTGCTCGAATTAAAATGTTTATCCATATTACAGAGAATTAATACTTAATATAAATAATATAATATATATATTTCGTTTTTATTTAAAAAAAATATCTCAATTTTATTTTTATAAAACAAATAATAATTATTTGTTTAGTAAACTTAGAGGATAAAAAATTAAAAAAATGTTTACGCGCTTATTTTTTTTGTTTTTTTTTCTATTAAACCTGGATATATCTATATAAAAAATATAAATGAAAAATACACAATTCAAAATTAATCTATAACAAAAAAATACATCGTTGAAAAAAAAAAAGTTAAAAAAAAGAGAGGTGAATGTTTATTCCGCGTGGCGGCTTTTGGCGCGTATACTTTTTAATAGGCAACAAACGAATTATGATTCGATCCATGAAGGTCTTCCTGTGTCTCGAATCCTTAGGCGTGCATTCACTTGAACGTGACTGAAAAAATGCTGGTTAGAAAGTGCCAGGGTGATTCATACCTGTGTGCATTGCTGCGTACGTTTACCGAGTGTTCCATCTATTTGAATGCAGTCTTTTTGTGGACGTCATTTCGAAAATGGACGCCTTTCTCGAAGGAAAAAAATATCATCTCCCGCATCTTTTGCAATTTTGGAAATATTCTGAGACACACAAATCTCAAGCTGCAAATCCCGGCAGGTTGTTATCGCCGTGTCGTAGGATTCTAATGTAATCGCAAATCCTTTAGCACCTCTAAATAAAACATCCGTTAATGCGTATTATCTTCAAAAGTACTATCTTCAAATTATTATCTTCAAATTACGTAGAAATTATTGTCTTCAAATTATGTAGAAATCCCTTTTTTTTTTTTATCGAGTTTCACTGAACTTCCTGTTCCGTATATTAATTTTAAAACTAGATGTTTTATCGACATATATGATTAATTTATCAATAGATATCCTTCCGACAATAGTATTATCTTCAAATTATGCAGAAATTCTTTTTTTTTTCATCGGGTTTCACTGAACTTCCTGTTTCGTATGTTAATTTTAAAACCAGAGGTTTTATCGACATATACGATTAATTTATCAATAGATATCCTTCCGACAATATCTTTTAATCTTGAATGACACTTTTTTCTCTCTTCCTCATCGATACTTTCTTAATCTATATTTATTTAGATTGAGATTAGTTTGAGTTAAAACGTTAAGAAAATATTCGCGACCATCCAATGAATGTTTGAACTTCCAGTGTTATTAAGGGATTACAAAGGTGTGCCTTTACGTGCCGCTGCTGAAAAATTCCGGGTTCTAAAAACACCCTCGGTGAATAGAATCGAGAATACGTGAAACGCGTCAATAATCTGTCGAGACTGCAACTCGTCACGAATGTCTTTTTTTCCCCGTGATTTGCATGCAGCACGTGTTTACACGTTTGTTGTGTTTCCACAGAATGGCTCCCGCAGGGACACCTTCATCAAATGGAGGTCTACCACCGCCTGTAGGACCTGCACTGACCGGCACGTCGTTTGCCAATTATAAAAGGACTTGGTGGAGGAAAGTAGCCCCCTGCTTGGCGTTTCTCGCCGCCTTTTCCACCGCTATGGTTCTGCTTCTTGTCTGGAGCGAAGCTGCGGCTTTGAGGTAAAAAAAAATTGCCGCTTTTTACTCTCTTACGTTAAATTAAATGTTTTTTTTTTTTTTTCATTAAAGAAAAATATGAATTTTATTTATTATATTAATATATTAATTTAAGAACATGTGACGTTGATTATAAAACAATAAGAGTGATACTACGTATAAATCTATCAAATTTTTATGAAACATTTAACACCATATCATGCAGTCTCATTACTCGGTATTTTTAATTACTCGGAATCCTTGATTTATCTCTTTCATACGTAAAATCCTACCGTTCTGTATGTCGCAAAGCCTGCAGGCGACTCCGCGATCCACTGTACATTGTGGAAGCGATCGGATTTCGGCGAGCTTGTGTGGAAATTTATACTCCTCGCTTCTTTTTTACTCCGCCGAGAGAGGATTACACGATCGAGCTCTAGATTATGCAAGATTGAACACCACTGGCGTGGCTTAAAGCGGATGTTCCGTTATAGGAGACAGGCGTTTGACGCGAACATGACTAGAGACTACGTGTTGGACAGCGTCTCGATGGACAATCCGCAATTGGTCGCGTACATACGGCAAGTGCATTTGAAACCGACTACTCGTCTGGATCCATTGAACGCCAATCAGACGTCAGAGGAGAAGTACGTGGCCTCTTTGTCGCAGGGGAAGCGCGAGGGTATCTACGCGGAGTACATCAGCAGGGTGAGGAATCTTTCGTTTCCACCCTCGGGGAGGGTGATTAATGTCTCACGTGTCACCGTTGCGCACATCGAGAATCTCATCCCTCTAATGTGACGGCGTAATATCTCTGTTCGTGAAACTTGCGGTTTACACGGACGATGAAGAATAATGGGTAGTCCGTATTGCGCGGGATGTTCTAAAATCCTTAATTACTCGATCAATTTCTGGGTGATCTTTCATTAATTAAAAAGTCCGGCCATCGACAATTTTCCAAGTATAAGCGGCTGAAGACGATGAGGTTTCCGCGAAGCAAGTCTTCGTAATTAAATAACCGCGTTTTGCAGTTCAAGTGCTTTTTAGAAATTTTAATTTCAGCTTTAGTATTATTGAGTTATTTATAATTAATTGTTGAAAAAGTTACAATAAATGATGATTCTTCAAAAAATTTTCTTTAGGAAAATATGAAATATTCTCTTTTTTTCTCTGCTCTCTTTAAATTAAAATTGAAATTAAAATGAGCAATTTTGGAGTATTTTCAATAAAATTACAATTTTCCAGATTATTTCATATGTCGATGTTACGCTTTCGTGAATTTTTAAGAGTGCACGTAAAGTATATAACATGACACATAATACGCAAGCACCACGAGCATATTTTTTTCAAAAAACTCAGAATAGAATTCTTCGGAGTGGAAAATTTACGTCCTCTTACATACGCCCTCTTCCTTGCGGCTTATCAAGTTTTAAATTAAATTAAGACCAAATAGGTATATTGGTGCTTCAACAGTCTCGAAAGTTCGCTTCAGATACCGCACGGCCGCGCTACCAATTCTTTATCGCCCGCGATAGTACACCGTAACATTAGCGAAACACGCAAAAGCAGCGGATCGCCGTCAGCACGCGACTAGTTAAAAATAGATGAGCGAGATAGATGAGCCGGGTATCTCTCCATGCTCTTTCCAATTCATCTTATTTTGTTGGGAGCGGGAATTAGGCCGGCGCGAGAACGAGGCCAATTTACCTTCTTATCGCGATTCAGGCCCGCAAATCCGTCACCGTCGGGTATCACTTTTTTTTTTTTTTTTTTTTTTTTCAGATAGGTGCGATCTCTAGCACCGCTTGGCTAGAATCCAATCTGAACTGGCGCGGTGTCCTGATACTCACCGAGCCCAAGAGCTTCTTCGAAGCCCAACGAAGTACCAGGCACCCGCGATCGAGGGTCCTCCATGCCTGTCTCAGCACGGACACGGATACCAAAGAGGTGAGAAAGCGGTGATAGGTCGTCACGGAGAAGGGCGATGATGAATTGAAAGTAAGAATATGTGCCTCACGTACGCGAATGGCATTGCAGATAAAGTACCATCAGGAATCGGAGGTCCAGGTCACCAAGCTAGGCGACGGTCCTAACAGCCTCGTGTCGTCGGACGATGGTTTTCCTACCACTAGACTCAAGTGCTTTCCTCTCTACAGCGTGCTGCTGGCGTACAATGCCACGATCTTGGATTACTTGAGTCTTGACAGTCCCGACGCTCCCGATGGCCAGGTAAACGATATAAATTTAATAATCCAGAGTCCTCGAAATGTAACTTTTACAATATTTTTCCAATTAAAAATTTTTATATTATTTGCTCGCGTCTAGAAAAGTATACCTATATATATATATATATGTATCTACTTTTGTTTTCTTTAGTAAAAAAAGATATAATTTTACGACGAGATATTAAGATTCAGATTTATAATTATTATATATACGTCAGAAATATTATATTTTTTTGTAATATGATAATTTGTTGATTGAAAACACGTACGAGGTTTAGAATCGCGATCGATCGGAGAGTTATAAAAATACAAAGCCGGTAACAAGCGTCGCAAAGGCTTATCGTAAGGGTAGTTGAAAATTATCGCAGGTACTCGATACCATCCCATGGGACATCATAAAAATATCGATACTGTCGATACGATGGAGTCCTCATCACAGCGAGGCGGAGACCAAGAGTTTCATCGACAAGATGACCAGCCGGAGGTACAAGCTCGTACACACGACAGACACCGGGAAGTCGATTTTCTTGTACGACACTCTCCTTAAGATTTGACTGAGGTTACAGAATGGTATGGATATATAAATATAGGATATATGAAATAATTTGAGCGACTCGAGAGACAACCCACCTTACCGCACCTTCGATCCGTTCTTAATATTTTATTTCACCGCCTGGAAATATTCCTTTCATTTGCAGCGCGATATCATGCAAAGGTCGTAAAAGAACAACTCGTTACGGTAACGAGGATCCCAGACGTAATCAATCGCGAAATTCGTTTTGCGCCGAATTCCCCCAGTTTATTAGTTCCTTTATTTAAGGATAAAACTCGTCGCTTTCACGATTCATAGAACAATGTTTATCCACGATAACGAGTTTACTGATAACGATCATCAATCGAATCTCGAGGGACTAATGAGTTCAAGAACTTCCTATCGAAAGTACTACGATCGTATCTTGAGAATTTCAACTGTCTAAGTTAAAAGTCAAAACTGTAAGTAATTGTAGATTCGGGACTTTGATTTTGTGACTACTCAAGAATTCTCCGAGTTCTAAATTGAAGTTAAGAACGTTGGAATCAAGTTTCGAACGGCCACAAGTTCGAGTCGTGATTTCAACTTGAGGTTTGAGCTTCGAGGTGTCTCAGATATCGATACAACTTTTTCTCTCACAGCGGAAACGGGAAAAGTGAACATTTTTATGTGTGTGTATATATATGTATAAAAAATTTCACTCTTTATGTTTCTGGCTAGGAGAAAAGTTAGGGGGAAAAAAAATGACTTCAACGCTTTAAATCACGTCAGATTTGAGAATATCCTCGAGCTACACATGTGACTTCTTTGCGAGTTATCCTTATTTCCTGAGGATCAAATTGTAATTATGAATTCAAGACTTGAATTCCATTAGACTCGAGGAATCGTAGATTCACATCAATTCTCGGCATTCTCGATATGCATCGAATGTGAAGGATTAAAGTATGGAATATAAAGATTTCTCTCCTCGATCGCGAGCAAAATATGTTGGTATTCTAAGCGCGCGTATATATTTTGCGGTCGTATACGACGGAATATGAGCACATGAGCCACGTGCGAGTCGTTAAACCTCCTTCGGATATTTGTGATTCTCTGTGTCTTAGATCTGCGTCTTACATCTGTGTTTTATCGCGAGACGTGCCACGATTTCTCTCTTGTTTTCAGTTTTCGTGTCGATGATTACCGAGTCAGATGGATCTTTTTATTTCTTTCTATTTCTGATAACGACACAAACAGTACAGAGAACTCGCAGAAATGCAGAATCGCTCGTTAGGTATTTCCTACGACATCTCACTTTCTTCGCGACGCCATTACATAATACTCTGTTTATTTCGTAGATATCGCGAATTTATTTCGTAGACGCGCGAATGATCAACGAAAATTAACACAAATGATTATTACAATAATAACATAGTTACATTTTCAATAAAAACAAAGGAAATATCCAGATTAGGAAGTAGTCGATAGAGATTCAGAAACACGACAGTTTGTACCAATTCCTGTTTAACTCCATACCTCAAACTGCTCCGAAGAAAAATACTAAATTTTAATAAACATTTGTTTGAATAGTTTTGAGTAAATATTTACTAAGTATAAACATATATTTATTTGATATAAAAACTATTTAACTATATATTTAACTACCATTTTTTATTCAGTAATATAGATAATATTTATTTATAATATTATAATAAATATTTATTTACTGTAAACTAAATGTTTACTTAGTACTATTCAAAGAAATATGTATTAAGATTTAGTAAATTTTTTTTATTGTGTGCAGTACATATTTATGTTCGCAGAACGATGGCGATATATGATGTGTCATTTCTTGTCATTTTGTTCATCATTTCTTTCCATCTCTATTATACCAATAGAAAATAATGTGATGTTAATTTAATAGAAAATATTTGTTAAATATAGATTGTCAAATTGACATTTTCGCGCGATGAATATTCGAAGTTAATTTGTGCTTCCTGTCGCGTACGTTGAGTTTGCACAATGTAACGTAAAATTAGTTTTACGTTAGAAGAAAGGAAAAGCAGGCGGATGAAACCGTAGCGAAAAATGAATTTCTCTGAGCTAAACAAACGCCTCGTTTAATCTTGTCTTCGTAACGATCCCTTCCCTCCCTTCCGTCCTCTTCGCAATCGTTGCGATACAGAAATCGCCGTCGGCCATTTAAAGCTCCGCAGTTTCGTGGATCTGGCGATTATAAAGGAGGAATCTTCGCTGAGGGACGATTCTGAGACTCGGGATTGATACGAGGATTGATCCGATAATTCAGCGGAGAATCATGATCGCTTAATGGTCCGAGAAAATCCACTCGAAAATCCGACTTCGATAAATCTCGCTTGGAGAGCTCGAGTCGAGATCTCCAAGCGTCCGCGACGTTTAATCTTTCTTCCGGGAGAAAGACGCAAAATGGAAAAAAGAAATTACGAGAAGAAACCTCGCCTCCCGCCCCCCTCCCCCCTCCCCTCCCCGTACGATTTTACGGTAGCGCGGTTTTTTAGAATTTAGGGAACCAAGCTAGTATATGTAACTATAACTTGAGTGTTTTACGCAGGATGCGACGATTTTACTTTTTAAGGGAATATTGAACGCGGAAATCACCATCCCGCGCACAACGCCGATGCGCGTTATCGCGTGTGATAAGAGCGAGCAAGTTAATTTCCAGGTATATTTTCCAAGCTCCCGCATTCTCGCGCCGCGCAAATACTAATAATTTCTACCCAAAAGGAGCGACGGTCCGAATCTCATTGTGTATATATATCTCTGCATCACGTACACACACACACACACACACACACTACTTCCTCTAGCGTGTCACCTACATACATTGAGTGGATCAAATTGCGGTAGATGGAACGATAATCCACGAACTTCGATCCACATTATTGATCGTGGAACTCGGAAACGACACACCCGCTATTCAGTGCTACACGTGCGACGTAGAATGGGGACGTAATACCTAAATGGGCTTGATTGTAGAAAGCTCACGAAACACAGGCCTTATTAGCGCGTAAGGTGATATTTTCTTAAAGCATTGTAGCGATAAGCAACACCAACCTGCGCAAGTGGTTCTTGCGTTTAAATTAATAAGTTATATCTTCGTTCGCAGCGCAGAGAACACTTTTGGAACTTAAAGTGAGATAGGCGCGTATGTTTGATGTTTGGTAAAAAAAAGATGAGAAGGAGAGTTACGAGTGCGGTCTGCAGTGCAAAAATAAAAAACAGGCTTTATGTGTTTTTTTTTTTATTTTAGACGTATCTATTGGAGACTCTCCTTTTTTCTTACATTAAAATCGTTAGTTATAAATTATAAATCATTTCTAATATTTTGGGTGAGAAATCAGCTTACTTTTTTTTTTTTATCGATAATCCATTTTCGAGTGAGAGTATTCTTCGAGAAGAAAATTAATTTACCTTCGAAGTATTAAATTTCGGTCTCTAAGACTCTTAAATTTCTCCTCGAAACTTGTGAGAAGGTTTTTATTTATCAAAAATTGCGGATTCGATATTCGAAGATGTAACGTAAGCTCGGGGATTATTATACAAAGTGCGTATAAAAGATAAGAATGCGTAATCTAAATTAAGGTATTAGCTTTGCATTATTTAGGATTTAGGTGTATTTTAGTTACTTGATAATTCTGAGCAACGTGAGAACTACTTGTATTCGTGTGGCACGTTTAACGCTAAAATGATAATCCGTAATAATGATAATCTGTAATTATGATAATCTAAATAACAGTACAATTGTTCATTCTTAGCGAATTTAAATTGCACATTGGATTATCAGCAGTGAGGATAAGATGCCTTTAACATTAAACGTACACCACGAAAGCGGGATTTCTGATTTAAAATCCCATTAACATGATTGCGATTGTAAAGTTCATTAGGAACGTTCAACACGACAGATACTTAATAATGCGATTTTCTTTGCATCGATCATAGCTTCGTTGCGACGATCATCCAATTATTTTCATTGTTAATCGCGCAAACGCGCAGCATTTGAATTTTCGCAAAGTGCATTATTCGCGCAGCGGTTAGTCTTCTCTTGATGATCAAGGAATTCGGTTTCAAAATTTTATGATAAAATATTTGGAAATCACAGATTTATAAGAATCCAATGACTTAAGAGAATTTGAGATTTTAATTCAAGAGAAGATATTTTGGGATGGACAGTGAACATTTATACATCTGGAATTGAAATTGTAGTTTTGGACGTAGAATCTCACTCTCTTTGCTATTTAATTTTTTGTACAGATGGAACTTTATTATGTATAAAGAAGTCACATATATTAGCGTAATATATAATAATATTTAGTTTTTTAATAATATGATTAATTAATTTAACAAAGTAAGTACATATTAATAGTAGACGTTCCTTCTATATAAATAAGTAAGTAACAATATGTGTAAAATATAATATGGTTCAAGATACAATTTAATTCTGGAAGCGAAAATTTCACTGTATTAAACAAATACGTGGGTATTTATTTAGTGCCGCAATTTTAATAAACATGTAGAGACATACAATGTCGTATATTAAAATTTTCATATTTGGCGAATAATTTTGGGTCACAAGTATATTATTTATTCAATTGTTACGCGCGCTCGCGAATATGCACTTCACGAATTTAGCATTCAGCAGCGCGATTTCATTTTGTAAATCTTTCATTTATTCGTAAGAATAATCCGCTTTCCTTGCCGCTTTATCGAAAGAACCATTCCATAATTATTAATTCGCATACTTCTCTTTTTCCTCCCGCCAATTTCTGTATGCAGTATCGACTTCATTGTATTACCTATGCGGTTTTTCCGGGAGACTTTTCTTACTTTTGTTTATACTTTTTTTACAACGTATTGTAACTCGTAGGTTTGACGTGATAAATAAGGCTGCTCGCGTTTCTATCCTGCGAAGGGCAGCCAATCCCTTTCGAAAAAAAAAAAAGCGCAATAAATTTGGATATTATATTTTGATGTGAGAGATTACTTATTGACCTTCATCCCTTGTAAGCTTTCTTGGAATTTGTCTATTTATTGTTGTTCACCCTATTTTTCCTCATACTTGTTAAGGGCTGCACAGAATAACAGGAACAGGGAACAGAAAATTGAATTTCAACCTATCAGAATATATTGTTTCTTAGGTCGAAATTCTTATTCTCTGTTCTTTTTATTCTGCGTAGACCCTTCAGAATTCTGAATCCTCACTTTAGCCATATTGCATCGTGACAAGTGAGAGATACGTTATAAGCGACATGTTGATATTTCTTACATATCATTTACAAATGAAGACAATTTGGATAAAGTGGAATAATGAAATAGCTGTAAAAACACTCGTAAAAATGGGCTAAGACTATCATTATTCCCCTTAGACAGTAAATAGTCGTAAAAGGCACGTAAAGTGCGTTTATTAGTTTTTATTGAATGCGCATGCGTAGCCTATTCTCACTTCACGAACGTTTTCATTATGCCATTTTTTATTTAAATTGCCTTTATTTATAGATACAAGAAAAATTGATGCGTTATTTCTCGCTTGTGATGTTACGATTCAATAGAGATGAGGTGAGTACTCGGAATCTTAACCCAGACTTTAACTCTTCGGAGAACGGTGGCCACAGATCATTCTTGATCCGTACGCTCTTAGCAATCAAAAAGTCGCTTTGCACATAATAATTTGTAAAAAGCAACAATTTTTAAGTTTTAAAAATGTTCTACATGTTTGCAATGTATAATATAAAAGGAGATAATTTTTAAAAACTAACCAATACATCAATAGCCTGAATTTCACTAATCAAAAATTAGTACCTCGTTAACAAACGCGCTGTAATTTATTAATTTAAGTTCCTTTTGCACGCAATAAGTAAAATCACTTGTTATATTTTAAAGAAATTTTTTTTACCACTTTTAAGCTGGAAAATTGCGTTTCCTTGTTCTTCTATCTTTTTATCATCTTTGAATAATGTAATTTTATTTTAATGTTAAAATAAGAACAGAAATAAGTAGATCAAAAAAGGACTCTCGATATTAAAATAATACAATTGTGTGATATCATGGCGAATAACAGTCCACGAATAAGATTAAGTAAACGTTATAAAACTAAAAAATGTGTATCAAATGATAAAAGATAACTGTTAATAAACTAAGTCAATATATATTTAATAAAATTACATTACGTTTCGGCTACAAATTCGAGCCCTCTTCAGATGTAAAGAATACAATAAAAAAATACGCTACGTAAAAAAAATTTTTATATGAAACGTAACGGAAAATGGAAAACACAAATAAAGAAAATATATGATATCGATGAAATGGTAGTGTTGGATGAAATACTTGAAACGAAGGAAACGAAAATTGCTCGCCAATTGATTGCAAGACCGATTGAGAAAAGACTCCGTCGTACCCAATCCAAATATCGGTAACACATGTCAATGTAAATCTCATCGATAGTTTAACGATCCAAAAATATCCGATATCCATAGTCAGAAAATAAGAAATCTCCATGATGTCAAAAAATAATTATTAAACGTTAAACTGTTATAGAGACACAATCATGAATCATATAAGTTTCTATAACAACAGTATAACGAAGTTTTACTTCGTAATTACTACACAGCTTAAAAGAATGCATGAAATTTCTGCCAGGGTATTAACAGTTATTTTTTATCGTTTGATACACACACTTTTCAGTTTTATAAAGTTTACTTAATCTTATTCGTGGACTCCTCGATGTCACACAATTGTATTACGTTAAAATAAGAGAAAAATATTTATTTGTTCTGGAGACTTCATTATGTGGTTATTAAAGAAAGAACATCCAATCGATAAATAAATTCCCCGAAGTATATGCATTTCTCGCTTAAAAATCGAGAAAAAATATTTATATAGCTGTTTCAATATCTATAATGCTCGTGCATCGATTTTTCACCATTTCCGCAAAGATAATAGATAAAACATGATCACTCTTTGATATCGACTCGCGATCAAATATATAACTGATTTGCTAGCGTGATTTTATTGCGATTCTTATTGAGTATGTCTTATCTAACGTGTATTATCAAACATTCTGTTTAAAATAGAAAATCCGTAGCGGATAGTTATTTTCTGAAATGAATATTTGTCGTATAGAAAGAAATATTTATTGCAATTTTAAATTAAAAGAAAACCTTTTTTTCGTATTAAAGTCAAAATCTACCGATTTCTCTCTCTTGTGTGTTTTTGATATAACATAAAATTGCGTTAAAGTACGATAACGTGGTATTATTTGAATCTCGAAATGTTGTCGCTCGCGAGAGGTATGAAAGTGATGAATTACGTATTACCCATTCATTAAGTATTTCCATAATTAAATACAGTGCGCGATTTATCAGAGAAACGCATGTCATGGAAAATTTTATCGACAACACTATGCCGCGTTTAATCCTGCGACGAATGACGGCGCGGCTATCGTTGTGTCCTGTGATCGGTTTAATTTACGCTTATTAAATGACAAGCGGGCGTTCGTTTGACAGAAGTTATTGGCACAGATAATAATCGTGTATTGCATATAAATTAATTTAGTTAAATTGACCTCATTATTGCTGTTAAATTTATCGCAAGATTTGCAATTGCGTCAAAATTATGTTAAATGCAATGAAACGAGCTTTAACGACAATTTCGATAAGAAAGTTTTTTCTTAAATCTTTTTCGGGATTTAGGCAAATTTTAGGAATGTTTTTTTTTTTTATCAAAAAACGAATAGTTAGGATCGATAAATTTTGATTATAATTAAGTAGAAGTAATTGAATGGGTTTTTTGTATTTACAATCATATTTTGCTATTCATAATAAATATGTAGTATTAATTTTAAACGTACGAAATACATTATTAAATAGAAATTAAAATTAAATGACAATCAATAAGATTTGATCCTTATTTCAAACAATTTTACAACTTACATTCTTACAAGTTTTTGCTTTAAAATATTAGATAAAGTTTGTTGAGATCTAATGACTTGTAATTATGTGTGTAATCGCTGCGTAGGAGGAAAGTAATATTTATCCTCTCTCTGCGTTACGATACGCTAATACGGATTAAAATTTTTCACATTAAAGTGGACAGATCGTAGCTGCGGGAAAAGCGAGGAAGAAATATATATGATGAAAATGCCTTGACAGTGGTCTTCACGAGGTGAAACGTGCGAAATGGCGCGAGAAAGTTCAACGAGTTACACACAATGCGGTGTATCTCGGATGCATCCGCTTGCACTTCTCACGAGGAGAATGCAATAATCTACGTCAGCGAGCTGTTTCCGTTTGGGAAACTCGAAGGAGAACACGTCGGACGTGTGGAAAGGAAGAGATGGAGGACGCGTGTTAAACGAGAAATTCGACTCGACAGTGTGGGGAAAATTGAGAATTGCGCTTTGTAAGCGATTGAAATCGGATTGAAGTGCCTGTCATACGACTAGAAGCGAGACTCGCCAGTTAAAGGTAAGCGGCCGCGAGACTTTTATTCCTCTCTTGCAAATCCGTGGGGCTTTTGCCGTCGGGGATGTTTCGTTTATGAAAATCGGACGAGCCGCGTGTTGCGGGATGTTGTATGGTTTGCCGCGATTACACATTGGACACATTTGTTTATTCGATTAAATATTCCATAAATTCGACTCACGAATTTCGCCACATTGTCGCATAAAATAAATTATCATTTGCGGTTCGTTTATACGCATCCTTCTGTTTTTGATGTGATGAAACGTACACGTTCACACGCGTAATTTTCGATTCGCGCCAATTAATTCATCGTTATTCCTACAAATTGTTTTGACAAAATTTCACGTGTTTAAAAATACTCTTTACATTTAAAATTGTTGTGCAAGTGTTAAATATTTTCATAATAAATTTTCAGTATAAAATAATTGAAATTATTTTTGGGACAAACAAAATGAGAGGTTAGAAGGAAAGATATTTTCAAAAAGACTTCCTCTCTTTATATTTCTTCCTCTATTTTTCTTTCTATTTAAATTTCGTTATATTAATGTCAGAGAAAAACATAGTTTTATCGATATGAAGATTAATAAAAAGTTATTAATATAGGATATTTTTCTTGTTATAAAAATTGTGTCCTCCTCTGAAAAACACTCTTAAATGTGCCACAATTCACAGTTTGACCCAGTTTCTCTTACTCTTGTTGGAATATTATAAAAACGGAGAAATTTACTGACGATTTAAAAAATTTATATCCTTTAAGCAAAAATTCCGAAAAGCTTGATGAGAATTATGAAATAATAGCGCTCAAACTGGAAACGCTTTTACATGAAAGTGCGTTTCTTTCAAATTTTCAACTCTGCGTTATACTCCCGCTCATTTCAGTGATTATCGTGATTTCTAAATCATTTCGCTGTTTCGATCGATTCAGATAAGCAAAAGATTAGTGATAATGGTGACCAGATAGTGATGGCAGTGATAAATATAATGATTCTGATGTCGCACCGTCCATTCGGTGCGTACCGCGCGTTTCGTGTCGTGCCAAAACGTATAGTCTGTACCTTTCATTTATTTATCCTCGGTGAATTTTGTGTTATTTTCGGCAAAAAGTCAGAGGCGACAAGCTGACGCGTTAATTAAAGAGCGACGAGACTGAGTCGCACCGGATACAAAGTTGTTCCTTTTCGATAACCTTTGAAGAAGCCGCACTTAACTCGCTGAAGAGAATGGAGGGCACGGGGATGATTACCGGAGTTCCTGTGCGTCAGGAAGGCAGGAAGCTGTGGCAGTATCTTGCAGCTATCTCTGGTATTTAAGGGCGTTTATTAACGCTCGTGTAATTATTCTATACGTGGTATGCTTCTCTCGCGATACTTTGTGAGTTACATAATCGACAGATCGAAAGAAGCATTGGACCCGCATTGAGAGTGATGGAGTGGAGATTGTGAGGAACCTTGTTCTGATAATTCCTGTTTATGACCAATATATTATGTAATTGCACTCCTGAAATGCGATACGTGTCTGAATTCAATAAACAGCCTGTATCGAGAACGTATATTTAAATACAATTTACACTGATTGTGATTTACACTAACTGTGCTGCTCGAAAAGAGCGCGAAATATGTTATATCAGGTTGTGTGCAGTAAATATTGCAAATGTGAAACTAACTTGGGTGTATCATTAATAATATTTAGCATTCATCCCTGCAGTTAGATAATTTATTTTTTAATCTATATACGTTTTAAACGTCAATATTGAAATATCTGATATTATTTATTACGTACTAAAATATTTAATATTGAATATATATATATACACACATTTATCAAGCTGATAATCGTCAATCGCCATGTTGTTATCATAAATTATCAATTGATGTAACTACCAGAGAAACTTCAATATAATCACGCGTACTTAAATATTCAAATACTTAAATATTTAATTCTAATTGACGAAAGTTATTTTTACCTTGGATGTTTTATATCTCCTGAAAATTGAATTATCGTAGATAATATATTATAGATTTCTTGTATCGCTTTTTTTTTGTTGTTTATGAAATTTATGTATTGCATGTTGAGATAAAATGTTAGATCACAATTTAATTAAATTACTAAATATGTAATCGGACATATATCTCAATTAGATTAACACAACTCGCTACCCAGTGAGAAATAATAATGGAATGGACATCGAATCGATGTCAATTCGACGTCGATTTAATGATTTCGACGTCGAATTGATATCGATTCGATGTCCATTCCATTGTCATTTCTCACTGGGTAAAGTCTTCGTTATCCGTAAAATCTATTAAAAAATTTCAGTCTCCTGTCAATAAAAGCATTCGGACTCCACGAGAAAAGCAATAATGATATTAATGACAAAGTCTACACTTTCATATTTTTGTTCTTTTAACGAAGATATCTTCTAGCAATATTTATTCACAATTAATTTTATTTATATTTTATCTGATAGATAATTAAATTTACATTTGATCTAGTAAATAATTAAATCGATAGGTATTCCAAACAGCTGACGCCACATAAAGACTAAATGTAAATTATGTATGTACTCTATCAAAGAATTATATACAACTTGTCATTAAAAATCTTTTATAAATAAACTACTATTAAAACATTATTATAAAATGACATTAATTAGTGTAATTTCACTAAATTAAAGTAAAATCTACAGTTTGATTTTAAAGTGAGCTTTAGTGAATTGAAGTAGATTTAACCGGACACCAATAAGTTTGTTACGCTACTCGAGTCAGTCAGATTGCGCTTATTATATTGATTAAATTCCACACAGGTTTGCTAAAAAGAGGAGGATATTACGCTTGCAGACCGTCCCTTAAGTTTGAAATTTTCCTACAGAATTAAATATAACGAGGTCGCAGTTCCACCGACTGTAATAGTTAGACCGTCCGTTTATTATGAAATCTCGCCGAATAAGCTCGTATATTTCGCTTAGAGGTCCTGGCCGTGATATTTTATTGAAACAGGGTCGCACTTTGCTCTGAGAGACCGGCGATGTCCGCCAGTAAAATCCAATGGTGTTTGTGAGCGCTCGAGACGCACGGCGAAATCTCAAAGGACAGTAGATTCGTTGTCCCGCGCAATTTTGCAAATCAACTCAATTCCCGACGTGTCATAATGCCCTACTGTCTATTTCCGACGGTAGTTGTTATCGTTGCTGGAGTTTTGGTGCCCGATAAAATATTCAGCCCCCGTCTGTCTTATCGTGCGTGTTACAGTCATGAGTGCCGGCTGCGGATTAGCACGATACGAAAAGGATTTAGTTTACAATTATCGCATTAATATTTGCGCCATTCGGCGCCGCCGCCGGTGACATGAAAGACCGCCGTAAGAAAGAAACTATTCACTGAGAAGATAGAGCGGCAAGCTGTTTTGATGAATTCATGAAATTTCGCATATTTTTTTTTTTTTTTACCGAGAAAGATGAATTATTTCTCATAGACAAACGATAATTCGTATTTCGTCAAATTAGAATAATAATGTAATGAGATTGCAGAACAATTAATTGAGCCAAATGCTTGAACGAAAATACGACAGAAAACACATGCAATAAATTTTCCAAAATATAAGACAAATGTAATATTCAGTTCTTAAATTCGTAATATTAAAAATTCAGTTCTTTAATTTCTGTAATATTGAATCTAACATTTTAGTTCTTATATTTTTAAATATTAAATTCGTAGCATTCAGAGTTTTTAATATTGAATGAAAGATATTCAATTCTTAAACTCTTAATATTAAAGTAAGCACAAGTTTCTTTGCTCGAAAAAACTAATTTACAAACTTGTCGCGATTCACCTGAGTCTAATAAAATCGATTCAGAAAATAATCAAAGATAATTATTTGCGATTAACGTATATTTTTTACCGAGAAAGATGAATTATTTCTCATAGACAAACGATAATTCGTATTTCGTCAAATTAGAATAATAATGTAATGAGATTGCAGAACAATTAATTGAGCCAAATGCTTGAACGAAAATACGACAGAAAACACATGCAATAAATTTTCCAAAATATAAGACAAATGTAATATTCAGTTCTTAAATTCGTAATATTAAAAATTCAGTTCTTTAATTTCTGTAATATTGAATCTAACATTTTAGTTCTTATATTTTTAAATATTAAATTCGTAGCATTCAGAGTTTTTAATATTGAATGAAAGATATTCAATTCTTAAACTCTTAATATTAAAGTAAGCACAAGTTTCTTTGCTCGAAAAAACTAATTTACAAACTTGTCGCGATTCACCTGAGTCTAATAAAATCGATTCAGAAAATAATCGTTGGTAATTATTTACGATACCTATATTAACGTTTTCGAGAACTTAATTACTTAGAGAATTTAATTTTAAATCTCAAGTAAAATATTTGCAAAGTTCCTCAAGTTCTCTTCAATTTTAATTAATTCGCCGTTTAAATGCACACCAGCCTGCTTTATGGCGCTCGCCGTTGGTACCGCTTTGGCTTGGACGTCTCCCGTTTTACCCCAGCTGTACGAGAAGGGCTCTTGGCTGGTCATCACCAAGGAACAGGGTTCCTGGGTGAGCTCGTTGCTGGCCTTGGGCGCAATATTGGGCGCTGTCCCATCCGGACCGATGGCCGACAAACTCGGCCGGAAGAAAACGCTTCTTCTGCTGGCCGCTCCGTTTCTCCTGTCCTGGGTGATCATCATATTCGCCTACAAATTGTGGCTGATCTACCTGGCTAGGTTTATAATCGGTGCCGCTGTGGGAGCAGCCTGCGTCGTCGTGCCAACTTACATCTCCGAAATCGCGGAGACTTCGACTCGGGGCTCGCTCGGTGCTATGTTTCAATTGTTTATCACAGTCGGGATCTTGCTGGCCTTTGTACTCGGTGCCGTAATGAATTACACGACGTTCGGTATAGTCTGCGCCCTCATAGAGGTCGGTTTCTTGGGCTGTTTTGTGTTCATGCCGGAGTCGCCTATTTGGTTGGTGGTAAGTCCAGTCGACAGTCTTCCACGATCTTTTTATTTATCTCATCATGTGTATATCAGTTATTTTAAATTTTATATTATAAAATAATTTTACAACAGTTCGCTCAAAAGAAATACACATTTAAACCACACGATCAAACTCATTTGTGAAAAAAAAATTTGAATACGTCTCGAACCTTTATAGAACCAAGGACGAAAACCGGAAGCTACGATAGCGATGTCGGTCCTCCGAGGAGATTTTTATGATCCATCGGAGGAACTCGCGGAAGCGCAGCAAGAAGCCGAGCAAGCAGCATCGAGGAAATCGACCGTGTTCGATCTTATACGAACCCCAGCAGCCAGAAAAGCTTTGCTGGCTTCGTTGGGCGGCATGTTCTTTCAGCAACTGTCCGGCATAAACGCGGTGATCTTCTATACGGTTACTATATTCCAGGCATCCGGAAGCTCAATGCAGCCGGAAGTCGCCTCTATAATCGTGGCGATCGTTCAGGTGCGATGTATAGCCTACACAAAAGCTTATATACTTTCATAGAATTTTTATAGAATATGTCTTCGTACAATTCCTTCGATATATAGAAGAGAAATTGTGTAACGTTTTTATAATAATACTTTCTATTCAGATAAGAAATATGACTTAAAGAATGTTATTCTAGAAAAATAGAAAAATTTTCGAAGTTAATTATCTTATTAAAGTATAATTAAAATTTTTTAATATTTGCGAGTTAATTATGCTGAACATACTTTTATGTAAATTACGTATACAATTTGTTGTGGATTTTTTCCGTTTTTCGTAGTTGAATTTTTATATGGAAGAGACAGTTTTGCTAAAGAATCTAAAAATTTAGTTGGATACAGACCTGAAAATAATTTTGTTGGACATCAAAATAATTACGTGGAACTCAAACTGGTTGCTGGAATATCAAAACTTTGCAACATTTCATCATGTTGAGGTTTCTAATTATTTTAATAAAATAAATCCAACAAAAAAGTTATATATTTTCAGACCTGTATATCTCGCTAAATTTTTGAATATTCTACAAAATTGTTCCTTTCGTGTATATGGTACTCGTTATCGGCGGTAAATATATGTTAAAAATGTATATCAATCGTAATATCTACCCATCTCTTGCAATTATTATTAACTGTTTCATTGTGGATCTCTGAATGAAGATATTTACCTTTAAAACCGTTGTTCCTGGCAGATGATTACGACAGGCATAGCAGCGATGATCGTGGATCGTGCAGGAAGAAAACCGCTCCTAATATTTTCCTCGAGTGTTATGATGGTTAGTCTGGTGGCTCTCGGTTTGTATTTCAATCTTAAGACGAATGGAAGTGATGTCAGTAATCTCGGTTGGCTACCACTCACATCCTTGACGTTATTCATGATCGCCTTTTCCATCGGGTGAGTATTGCAACTAGATTGCAATTCGGATTTTTTTGAATTAATCTAGAACAACATATTCGTATTTACAGTGTAGAGACTATCCCAGAAAATTATGTTATTTATCCCATGCAGTTAATGCCATTCTCGTTTTTCTCTATTATCTATTGCTATATTTAAATTACCCGAGATATATATAAAGGGTGTTTGGAATTTAAATGACCAAACTTCGGGAGCGTGTAGGGGATCGACAAACTAAGGAAAAAAGTCCTGTAGAGATATGCTCGTTTTTACTTCGTCTTGGAGAAAATCACAAAAAAAAGACAAAACGTAGTTTTCATTTTTGTAGACTTTTTTAATTATTGATTTACGTTGTATTTATTCACTTGTTTAATGTAGATGTTGTTTAAAATTTTGGCCTCTTGCAGCATTACATCTAGTAGACACATCTTACAGACAGCTTGTGTTGCAGCCAAACACTAATCAGACAATATTTGGTGCACTGCAGTCTCGATTAGATTTCTCAATTGTTCTTTTGAGTTGATTGAATAAACTTCTTGCTGTAAGCCCCACAAAAAAGTCCAGTGGTGTCAGATCAGGGGGTGGCTAAGGTACTACTCTTTCACGTCCAATTCATCGTTGTAGAAACTGTCTGTCTAGCCAAGCTCGAGTAGTTCTACCATAATAAATTGGATATACCCACCAAGGTGAAACCACATTTCAATTTCAGTTGCTGTGTGTGTATGTCTTCTAAATGATCAAAAAAGTCAGTCTCTAACAAAATCTGTATATCTGGCTGCATTTAATCTGTCGGATAAGAAAAATGGTCTCACTAGAGAGTCGTTCCAAATTCTGAGTCAAACTTTAATAGCAAATTCATGCTGGAGTTTACTTTCCCTAACAGCCGCCCTGTTCTGCATATCTGCGCCCAACTTCACAACTCTCTTTACGCGTGCAATATACATAATTTATTTTGTAAATTAATTATCATAAGGTTAATTCATAAAGTTGTACAAATTAATTACAATTGTTTATAATTTTAATGAGAGAGAGAGAGAGATTTTATAATATTCGTATAAGTTCTAATATCTAGTTTCTCTGGATTATTTTAATAATAAAATGTTTAAAGTGTATTTGAACAATGCATTTGTAGAAATATCAATAGAATAAAACTTATATTTATTCACATATGTAATTCTAAAATCAATATTGACTTCTGAACGCGTCAACTTTAGATGATATAATTCGTTAATTTTAAACGCTTGTAATTAAAAAATTATTATAGCCTCAATATTTTGGTAATAGAATTTTTGTCTCAAAATGATCTCAAGAATCACCCCTTAAGCATCGTTCGTCTCTTTCCCGGACACCCTGTATATAACTCAGAAATTATCATAATTCATAATATATGTAGATTATAGATGATAATAATTTTTGAATTTACATAATATTATGATAAAATAAAATAAATAGAAAGTGAAAGAGTTCACTGAGATTCCAGCAAACTAATTTATTATCATCTTGAAGTATTTGATGTAGCAATCAGTCTAAAAAGAGTGAGAAGGACATCAACTCATGTGTTACATTTTATGCGTAGAATGGGCCCGATACCATGGATGCTGATGGGTGAAGTGTTTCCCGCGGAAACCAAGGCGGTCGCTTCCGGTATCGCCGTGATGCTGAACTGGTTCCTGGTGTTCTTAGTGACGAAGACCTTTCCCACGATGAACGAAGGCTTGGGCGCGGACGTCACTTTTTGGATCTTCGCTGCGGTCATGGCAATCGGCACCGCGTTTACGTATTTTTTCATACCGGAAACCAAAGGGAAAACATCCCAGGAGATTCAAGAGGAGTTACAAGGCAACATACAATTAAAGAGGACAAACGCCTAAATTAGAATGAAAAATTTATCATCTACTTGTAGCATGACGTACGGACAAACAATAAAACAAATTTGTAGTAACAATACAAGAAATAAGCTGCTAAAAAAGTTATCGGAAGGAAAATTAAATCTAATAAACGACTTATATCATTCTCTGCTTACTTTCGTCCGTAAATTTTCTCATGTTTGAACGTATTGTTATTATATCTCCTTGTAATACATAATTTTTATTTACGTAAGTTTATTTATCGATGTGCTCACGATGTAAGATTTTTATCAGTTGCGCACATTTTTAAATTACTTTTTAAACACATGTGCATTATTATATATAAGAAAATAATAAGAACGAATATATCAATCTCAAACATTATCGCATCACTTTATTTTGGGACCTTATTTCGTAATTAATACTAAATGTATACGATTAATCGTCTCTGCGACATTCCATTTACGCTATTAATATATTGTTGTAAACTCTGAGAGATATATTACTTTAAGTTAACGTAGAAACGCGAATGTAATATTTTATTTAAGTTTAGGGAGGTATAAATGATACAAATGATACAAGAGAAATGGTAGTGTTTCGCGCCAAATCACGCCAAATGAGCGGGAAGCGAGACCGCACCGTATTTAAGCCCGTGTCACACTACGGACTTTGGACGCGGATCGGATTAAGATTGCGGATTGCGCATCGGAATTCAGCCAATCAAGACAAAGCAACCCGTGTGAACCCTGGCCCCCTAATATTAAAAAATCGATTTTTTTTCTTCGTGCATTCGTTTGCTCACCCTTACTTTAAAAGATATACGAAAATTATGTTTTGGGGGGGTCAGCTTCACCCTAGCTACCCAATATTAAGAAATCAATATTCTTCTTCATGCATTCGTTTGCTCATCGTTTGCTCACGAATGCTCAGTTGGAATTTTCACGGCAAATTTTGACGTCAAGATACGTCATCATCATCATCGCCCTCCGAAGCGTTGTCTGATTCACATTTTAAACGTCAGATGACACTCGTTAGCATCTTATTTTATATTGATGTAAATATACAAACGTTTACCATACGAGACAAATAAACATATATGTAGTTACGAATTTATTTTAACAGTTGATACATTCATTATTATTGAATGGATATTTTACGATACACTATTCCGATATTAATTATGCATATTAATTATGCACGTGTGTATATAATTAAAAATTAAAAATGTACAAATATTTTTTGTCAAACAACTTTCTGAAAAATATTACATGTTAAAGGGAGCTCACGTGGTACATTCACCACTTGTCATATCGTCATGCCTGAGCGCGCGAAATGTCAGCTCTGCGATTAGCGAAATTTAATTGCGATTAATTTAAAAACTATTATAGCCTCGACATTTTTATATTAAAATTTTCGTCATAAAGTTATCTCAAAAATACGTCTTCAAAAAGAATATAATAAGAATAACATATATGTGTACACATAATATAATGTGTAAATATAACAGTGAGCGTTTGAAAATAACCAACCACAGAGCATGAAATTTGCGCCGTCAGAAAATAAGTGTAAATACATGTACAAAGAATCAAGGATACAAGATTAGGTTATGCAGTGAGTTATATGTTAATTTAAAAATAAACATTAAACTGTATTAATTTCTTTTACGTAACATTTACTTATTATATATTTTGAGGTCTGGCAGCGCCAAGTTTTTTGTACCTTTACTTCTTGAAATAAAGTATATGTTATATATGTGGCAAGAAAATATATTTCTTTCATAATTAGCGCAATTTAAAGATTTCGTTTCTTTTTTTGTAACAATATATGTTACGGTTTTTTGTGAGTGTAGAACACGCACATTTGGCGTCTTTTTTCTTCTTTTTTTTTTTTTAAATCATATTTTACACAGAAGAAGATCTGAGTAGTAAATAAATTCTTTAAATAATAAATAAATATTGATGTTTGTTTTATTTTTCCTTATCGTGTAACCTTATCTGTTCTGCAACCGTAGAAGATAAGCGCTACCCTGAAAAATACATTTCCTAAAACGGTTAAAGCGATTTCCATTAACTGCATTTTTTTTAAGAAAATTACATATATGATAAAGAATATATGCCATTATCTTTCTATTCTAGAATACATAAAGCGCTACTACGTAGTTTTAAAAAATAAAAATGTCGACGTCAGTATATATAGGTGCGTCTTACTTTTATTATCTTCTTTTTATGTTCGCATAAACGGTGTTTTCACGATGAGTACAGTATCTTACGGTAAGATAACACAGATTACGATTAAGGCTATCCAAGAGCTGTTTAATCGTAATCAATTGATTAAAGTCACAAACAATTCGACGTAAATTGAGTAATGAAATGTAATTTAACTCCCCTTCCACAATTTTGTGTCTTCGTTCACTTAACGTTTAACGTCTAAATTTTAGAACTACACTCCAGGCCAAAAGTTTGGATACACTGCTCTAAGTATTAAAATGTGCTTAAACGGAATTTTTCGCTTCTATAGTAGCCTGAACTTTGGCGGATGCTACAAAATTCCTGGACATTCCTACCACAAGAAACACTAAATGAACTTGTCGCCAGAATGTTACGACTTATAAATGTGGTTCTGATAGCTAAGGGTGGTTTTGTTAAGTGTATTCAAATTTTTGGCCTAGAGTGTACCTGGTCAAAGATTTGATACAAGATGTAAATAATGTAATTCATAAAAAATTCAGATATAATTTATAACAGAGAGAGAGAGAGAGAGAGAGAGAGAGAGAGAGAGAGAGAGAGAGAGAGAG